GAGAGAGAGAGAGAGAGAGAGAGGGAGAGAGAGAGAGAGAGACCATAAATATGACTGCTTATATAGAAGTAATATTTATGGAAGCTGTTTCGCCTTGTGTATTTGCTGCAGTTGTACACACAAACAAGTGAGGCACCAACAGAATAATTAAATCATATTATCGGCAACGCTAAAACTCTATTTTGACGATTTGTTATTCAAATAACGGCGAAAATCTTTCACAACAAATCATGTCTCCCGTTTCTTTTCACCCTAGTTTTGCTTATTATAGGATCGGAATAAAATCTGACAAGATATTGATTCGTTTTTGTGTTATATATAAACATCCGCAGCATACAATCGTGAAGTCAACAAAGGGTCACAAAAATGTCCAGTAATATCGGTAAACGGCTTTTAGATGGATAGTAACTGATCTATTTCCTCCAACAATTTAAGACGATTTAAACTTTGCTTTAAAAACAACATACTATACTGAAATCTCGGCTGTTATTGCTCGAGGCTGTTATCCTAATATTGTGGTAGATTGATTGTGAGGCACACCGTTGTAAAAGAAATATGCTTACACGTTTACAGAAATAAATTTGATTATCTTTTCTTTATCTCCTATAACCCTATGACTGTTAACAAACCATCCTCTATCTAATGCGCGCCGAGGACTTAAAATATACTATTTTTAAAAGAGCAGAGCTTTTTTACGGATCCGAGAGTAGGGTTACCATCGGTTTGAAAGGAATAAGAAAAAGCTCAGATCAAAAGCATAACGAACAAATCATGGCGCTACGAGAACATGAACGTTGGAAAATGAACTTCATACCAATCACTTCTCCGCAAAATCTGGAAATAAATTCGGTTAAATATTTTGGGCCATGCTTGGCCATGCTTTACAGTTTTGAGATAGCTTCCAAGGCGAGTTGCACGGTTCTCTTCAGGACCAACGCCACAATATTTAATACGAGATGGGTTGAACATAATAGTATAACATGTAATATAATATTATGTCATCTTTGTAGAGGCCTTGATTTAAAAGATCATATCCCAAATCTTGAAAAACTTCAGTTCACTTTGCCGCATGGGACAATGGCTTACATTAATTCATTCAGGACTCACTGCAAAACATAATATAATAAAACTTTTGCTTTGAGGTTTTATTATAGCGTTATCTTGAAAGCATAACCTCTCCGCTTTATACCTGTCCCTTATCTGTCCATCTGTCTGTCTATTAGTCTCCCCCCCCCTTTTTTTTCCCTCTGCCTGTCAGACTGTCTGTCTGTCTGTCCGTCCGTAAAAAGGCTAGCACAAAAACAAACATTACCAATTACTGTCCGGTTTCTGGGAGTCTTAACGCATCTTCTGTCGCCCCCGACTCGTTTGAGATGTTTACTGAATTCTATGCTAAGCACTACAAAATCGATCTTCTGAACATCTCCTCCGTGACATGATGTAGCCTTCAGACAATTCTTTCGACATGAATAACCAGCGTACATCCCTCCTCCACTGCCCTTTTTTGTAGTCGAAAAGAAAAGCGTTGTGGTAATAATATTTATCTCTCTTGGCATGTCCAAGCCTTTTTGGAAACCTGAATTTATCCCTCAACATTTGGAGAAATATGGCTGGTTTGAACTTTTTATCCTCCGGTATTTTCTGCTTTTCTTTTCTTTTTCTTCTTTTGGCGTGTTTTGTGTTTGCGTACCTCCCATTGTAAAAATCGTGCCACAGTCCACTCTACCCCGTGGGACAGAAAGAAGTTAAAGGCGTTTGTTTATTCACTAGGACAGCAAATCCGTAGGTCACTTGCGGCAGCATGAAAGATCCGCCCATCAACTCCCGCCCGCCTCTCTCCCCCTTTATCGGAGAATCACGTGACTTGTCAAATGCATTCTTTGGATCTGCGAGGGGCAGGACTTCACGACAAGGTCAATAGAGCGCGATTTTGCTTGGGTTTTTTTTGTTGTTGTTGAAAGCGGAAAGGGGTGGGGGTGGGGGTCTTTTATTTTGGTTCTGACTGCAAGAACTAGGGGCGAAAGAAGTTGGAAGCGAAGCTTGTGATGGAGATTTAGCGTGTGCACACTCATGTGTGTGTTTGCGCATGCGCGCTTTGCTGTGTATAAATTTACATGTGTGTGTGTGTGTGTGTGTGTGTGTCTGTGTGTCTGTGTGTGTTCATTTATGCCTGCGGGCGTTCTTTGCCTAGAAAACAGCCCTTCCCCTCTCCCTCTCCGAAAAAAACACTAGAAGTTATTTAAAGTAGTCCTTGCTAAATCTTCCAGACCGCTGTGGCGATGTCGATTGTCTTTAGATTAGGATGTGTTAGGCTCCAAAGGTGGGCGGGCGGACTAGGTTTGAATCCTCCACCATTGTATGTTCAAATAGTTTGTATACAATGATCTAAATCATTTCCAGGAGCAGATTGTGATAGTGACTATGTCTTTGTCATGTGTAAAATACAGATAAAATTGAAAAACAACAACAACAACAACAAACAACAGCTGAAAAAGTCAAAGCACCTACTCAAATATCAATTATCATAGTAAACCAAAAATTGAAAGAATTATTTCTTTATTCATATGAGTAATCAATACCAAGCTTAAGAAAACATGACTAAATTTGAAGAATTATGGAAACAGTGAAGGATTCAATGACGGAAGCTGTGCGGAAATTGAAATGCTATGCCGTTAGTATAGTTTTAATAGCAGACTTAGAAAATGATCGTATTGCTAATAGGTACCGTTGAGGCGGGAATTGAAGGTCCGGGGTTATTTTTAAAGGTAAAGAAAGCAGAATGCATTGTAACATCTAACAAAAAAGTAGGTCATATTTTGTAATCTCATAAATAAAGGAGCAATAGCTGAAGACAGTTTCAGTAAAAGGATTTCAACCCTTACAACCAAAGTAAGAGTTCCAAAATAATAGTTTTTAATATAGGCGTTTTAACACCCACATTTACACAATTTTGATCAATTAGAAGGCAGGCTTCCGACTCTGCCTGCAAGGACCAATGCGGACTGAGAGGGATAAAACATCCCAGCAGGAAAATCTTGATACTCAAGAAAAATTCTCCCAGCCTGGGATCGAGCTCAGGTCTTCTGTGAGCGACAGTAAGGCTAGGCGCGCACAGGGCAATTTTAGTTACGCAATAGTTGCTGTCTCCGGGCAACTTATTTTATACACCGCGCGCACAGAGCTAGGCAACAACCAGGCAACAGTAGTCTGTCATCATTTCTGACTTCCTGATTTGACACCACGGACTTGCACAATGCAGTACGTTGTTGTCTGTGCTCTTGTGAAGAAAAGGAAAAATGGTTTCGGGTTCACTCTTTGACCAGTCAGAGGTTTTTAAAAGGGCATTTTGTCAAACTGCATGAAAATTTGAGAGCATACCCTCCTAAGTTTTTAAACTATTATCATATGAGCTCGGACAGTTTTAATGAACTTTTATGCCTCGTGGGACCTCAATTACATATCAAAACACCAACTGGAGGAGCAGCATTTCAGCAGAGGAAGAAAAAAATGTGGGGAGTGGGGGGCCTTGTCGAGTCTGGAGACAATTAGGTTGCCTGTGCGCGCCGTGTGTCATTTTTAGTATTTAACACAGGAGGTTTGAGCAACAGTTGCATTGCCGGAAAGTTGTGACAAATCTCAAACTTTTCAGTGTCCAAAAACTCGAGTTGCCTGTGAGCTCGGTGCTTATCTATTTCATTGTTTATATTTGGGCGAGAAAACAGTTTCGCAACTAACGTTGCCATGTGCGCGCCTTGCCTTAAGTACCAAACTGCCACAGTTTCAAAGGGCTTTGGGAGGTCAACTCTTCTATACGGCTGCCAATATTGGCCACTTACTGAAAATAGTGAAAATAATCTTGGAGCAGCATAAATGGGACTTCTTAGGAGATTTGATAATTTCATGTAAGGAACAGAAATCAAAACATCATGAAGTTCTGTTGAAAGAAACCTGAGTGGACAGCTCACTAATAAAACAACCAGGCAGAGACTGTTACAGTTTCAGGGACACTTGGATAAACATAAAGACCCTGAACGTCTTGCTATACCTGAAAAAATAGAAGGCAAAAGAGGTAGTGGCAAATCAAGACCAACTTACACAGACAACTTGAACAGATGGGTGACGCAGAAAGACCGGTACAATTCTATTGATTGGGAATAATATTGCTCTAAAAAGAGAATTCAAGTAGAAAGATCAGAGGCACATAAAGATCGCCGATGATCTATCACTTTATGATAAGGATGATGAGGACGACGACGACAACGACGACGACGACGACGACGACGACGACGACGACGACGACGACGACGACGACGACGACGACGACGACGACGACGACGACGACGACGACGACGACGACGACGACGACGACGACGACGACGACGATGATGATGATGATGATGATGATGATGATAAAACTTGCATTACTCGATTTGTGACCTTTCGTCGCAAGTCCCGCTTCTAAAATAATCTTTGAGTCTCGAACGTACAGACAATAGATACACACCAAAGAAAAGCATGCCTTCTGCACTTTTCTAGACTCATCTTTTTGAAAGGAGTTATTTCTCCTCGAAATTCTGCTGTGGAAGCTGCGATCAAAGATATTCACAAGCCAATAAAGCGTAACGGACATTAGGTTAGATAATTACCAACTTATCCAAAAATTTGAGGTTTAATTCCGATATATTCATTACCGTACTCTTATCCTTTCTGGCTCTTTCTTATCTGCCCGGAATTCTTTGGAGTATCAAAAGCACTGTCCTGAAAAGAATCTACTCAGGATGCCGCCGATCAATTTTCTGACACAATTATTTCTACCGAAGGAACTTACTTTGTCTATGACATGAAGATGTCCGTTCAGCGTTGGCATATCAGGCTGGACAAAGGATGCAAACTCGGAATGATTGACGTATATGTGCAGGGTCTGGGAGAAGAAACAATTTGGGTAAATTTATGTGAAAACAAGGTATTTTATTACGTACGTTTTTTTAAAGATCCGTTTGAACGTGTCTAATAAATCGATTAGTAGTGAGGTGTTACTCCGCTCTCATTGCATTTTATTGAAACAAAAATAGTTTGGTTAAATATTTTGAACGTAATATGAATGTAGCTATAAGTGAAGCAGTTGTGGACCTAGTAAAATTACAACATTGTTAGATCCCGATTTACGAATGTTTGACGTCACTGCTCTTTTAAACTTGTCACTAGGGTGAACAGTGTGACATAGGACTTGAGTGTATATTAATTACAATCAATGGTAGGTGCTCAGAAGGTTTCCCAGCATTGCATTTGTGAGGCGAAAAGATCTAGTAATAATCTAAACTAAGCCCCCCGATTTTTATAGAGACTTGTGAGTACATGGTGTCTACAGTTCTGCAGTACACAAAATGTTAACTATACTATAGGTAATGAAACGAGAATTGAGGACCAACTGTGGAAAATTGTTGGCTTTTGTCGTATCTCGTCTTCAGAGGGAACGGGTGATCGCTTTGATAGGCCATAATGTGGAAGTTGATAAGAAAGCAACTGAGCAAAAAGCTGATCAAAGTGCGAAATAACAGAAATAAAAGTGTTTTTCAAACTACAGGGATGCTACTTTTCTTCTAGAGAAAAGAAATAAAACAGCAAAATAGCTGCAAAGGCACCACCTGAGAATTTGCGCGAACGTGGACGAAATAAGCCATCTGGTTGTATAGGATCTTTGGCTGGACCAACTGACTGCTTAGGCCCAGTCGGTTTAGAACTTGTCCGACGAGGGGTAGATTAAGGTTCAGATCCGAAAGGAATCACAATTTTAAATTATATCCAGTAATTTAAACATGTCGCTTCTAAGTCTGTGTTCCGTTGGAGGACAAAGTGCTCCATCTTTGAAAAAAGTATAGGTTTAATGCCCCTATCAACACTGTTAGGTTATTTAAGAGGCAGGACCTCCGCGTCTATCGTCCATCTCCGAAAGGACTGAGCCAAGTTGGATATTCGTTTAAAATGCCTTTCCCAGGGATACAACGTTGGACCAAGCTGAGGCTCGAACCACTCCACTTTTGAAATACCTATATCATTTTGGGCAGCGTAAATATCGCAAACAGTACGAGCTATAAAATCCATTACTTTCAAAGAGTGGTCACTTTCATCCTAACATTTTTTAAATTATAAGAGTATTTGTTAATTTATGATATATCTGTCTGCCCCGTTCAATATCAGTCGTAAGACGCACTGTGCTATTATCAGCTACGAGGCTCGAAAGACAAAGAAGTGGCTTTCCATGAACTTTTTGTTTTTTGGATATATCGAAAGTTTGATGCCTTCTGCTTCATTTAAGATAAAATTAATAACTATAATTGACAATAAATATTTTATTTTGATTTATTTTGGAGGTGTGTGTGGTTTGTTGTGAGCGTGGGGAATTTGGACCTTGCTAGTATGTAGCTGTGAGATTATTTTTAGAACCATTACCTCATGGCCACCTTTGCTTCAACCAAAGATTCTCCACTGGTAGAAAATTTTTCCTCCAATGTTCTTCATTCGCAACTATTTTTAGATTTTGACCACTTTTCGAGCATGAGTGGTCTGAAATGGAAACAACTCTGATTGGTAAAACGGAGTAAAAACGGTAACTTCTAGCTCACTTCAAGTTTGTTTACGTAAACTTTTGACTGACTGTGTGGGCGTGCCCTGCTAGCTGCTATTGTCTGTTGATCTTTTAAGTTTTACACTTGGCTAGACTCAAACAATTATTTTTTATTGTGTTTTAGAGCTTTTAAAAGATGAATTAACCTTCCTCTAGATCTCTCAGAGCAGACTCCTTACCAAGAGGCCACCGAGGCGGTCTATGTGCATGTGTTTGTATGTGTGTTGGTGTGTTTGTATGTGTATTGGCGTGTTTGTATGTGTGTGTTTTTGTGTGTATGCGTATGTGTGTGTGTGTGTGTGTGTGTGTGTGTGTGTGTGTGTGTGTGTGTGTGTGTGTGTGTGTGTGAGTGTGTGTGTGTGTGTGCTCTCGTGTGTTTATGGTGCTATTGCAAATGTATAATCAGGTAGCGTAAACACGGCACGTAAGCCGACTTGCGGCCTTCCGAGCGCGTGGTTTCGGTGAAATGGAGGTAATTCAGATCTCTGTTTCTTTGCTCTTTTGATATAAAACACCAAATGCTGAACACTTTGAAAAAGTACAGATTTTCCTCGACATAATAGTGTAAGTTGTTTGTAAATCCGGGTATTTGGATCTGGAGAATCGCCGTGGAAAGGGAAGCCCCTCGCGGTCGGAATGCGAGGTCCCCTGGTTCAAAATTGACACCCATGCATTCGAATGCTTTGCAGAAAGATTGATGATTAAATACCGTCTTTTTATTGGCGGAGAACTATATACAGCTTTGAACGTGGTTTCCTGTTGTTATTATTTTTGTCCTTTAGCGTATTCAAAGACCATTTTTTAACACAAAATGTGTAAAATACCAGCTAAAAAAGGTACCAATAAAAAGAACAGTTTTTTAAAATTAGAATAAAGTCATCGGCTTGGAATTATTTTGCATGAATCTTTCTGCGAAACTACCGGGAGCACTCAGTATTAACTACAGTTACGTATTGAGCCGGCTCGCAAGCCGCAAAGACTGGCGTTTTCATTGAAATAACGACAGGTCATCGTGTTTGAGGCAATAAAATACTGATTCGTAATGATTTCACAGTCTTGCAAAATATTAGGCTTCATTTCTATGTTATAGTGATTGTACTCTTTTTATGTAGAGATGTTTGGTGCACTTGGTACTCTTTTACTATGGGGTTGCAGCCAGTTAACGACTTCAGCAATATTTTATTATTAGTTAAATTGAAAGAGCCGCCATTCTCTTAAACCCTGACTGAGAGGTAAAAGAGTATGGTACCAAATTTCTCAGGAGACATAGGCCTTTCATATGAAACAGATGAATTTGACATACAGCTACTTTGAACATTTAGTGTCTGGTACCTAGTATAATGCTAATATTTTGTTGCATTTGACTTGAAGTCCATTCTCGTAAAAATTTTGTCCATAAATTTTTTGCTCTGTTAATAAATAGTTTTCTACTTTTGTATGTTACCTTGTAATGGCATAGTCAAGATAACTGCTAAATTTCAAGTCTATCTCAATGCTAAGTCCCCCCATTGCTATGGAAACATGTTGCTCAACTTCGGAGGCCATTTTCTCCTTTTCGTGTTTCCTCCCCTCGCACAATTAAAAATTTTGTATTTTTGTCAAATATTGTCATATTTACTTTATTCTCTTGTTTTAAATTGTAGGGAAAAGGTGATAGTTTTTAAAAATAATGTTGACTCAGTTTTTAAATTTCCTTCATATGACTGATATTGACAGGCAGGGACACATATGTGTGGTCCAGTAAAAGACACCAGTCTTTTAGTTTACATTAGTATTTTGCATTGACCCGTCATACAAGATAGAGTGAACCCACATTATGAATCTTCGAGTTTGACATAATTTTTTTTACGGACGTAAAGTGAATAGAGTTAATGTATCCCTAAATAGGAAATCTTCATAAAAGACCCTGCTAATACTCCGTCGACCGTATCTTAAGACGTTTTTCGCTTTCGTTTAACGACGCTGTTAATGGACAATTTTTGGAAAACAAAAATGTTCTTAAAGACATGAAACAACGTGGGGATTTTCTTCTTTGTTCCTCTGCCATCCCCCTCTCTTTACTCTCCTTCCGTCGTGTGCACGTGATGTTATAAAACCCTCTACCCCGTTCCTCTCGTTCTTCACGCAGCAGGCAAACGTGACGCAGTTAGTTTCATACTTCAATGTCTGAGGTTCGCCTGTCAAATCAGAGGTCCACAGTTCGATCCCCACCAGCGTTGGGTTTTGTTTTCTCCTGTTTTCTACATCCCCTGAACCTAGGGCATTGGGTTATTTTTTTGCCCTCAAAGAACGGAGAACACATTACTGTTCATATCTAGTGCTTCTCTCATGCTTTCTCCTAGGGTGTCGATGCGCTAAACTAGAATAACAAAGTTCTATATATTCAATACCTAGTTTTGAGAAATTTGACGTAAAATTTTTTGAATTTCACAACTTGTCAAGCTTTTTCGGTTGAAATACTTTGAAGGACTTGATTTGATTCTAAATAATATTACGATTTTGATAGCAGATAGAACATTTGGCTTCTGAACGCATAGTCGTAGTAACTCAAAAAGACCAAAAATGTTAGATAGAACTTTGTAATTCTAAGATAGCAAATGGCAGAGTCGTTAGTAAGCCCAAACTGATTCACAAGTTAAAGCAATGTCAGTAAAACGGCTTAAAAGTGAGGAACCACTAGAATGTATCCTTGGGCAAGGCAAGTTAACCACAGCGTTTTTCACCATAAACTTAATCTGCTTAATCCAGACACACCGGAAGGGTATCTTTATTTTACAATTGTGCCCTATGACTATTTACATCTTCAACATTGCCACTCATGATTTCAATTTTCTTCACCGTTGCCAAACTTGTACTCTCTATCAAACTCGGGCAGACGAAAGTAATGGCGCTCAGTAACATCGTGTGCTCTGCTTCCCACTTATTTCTAAGTATAGGCTTCCCATGGTCAAATTCTGACAAACCGCTTCTAGTTTCAAATAACTGCTGTTTACAATTTATCGAAGTGCGCAGCCGTTGCGCCGTGTATAAACGCTTTTGAAAGCTATCTGGACAGCAGTCACAAGACAACGTAGGTAACGTCGTTAAAAGTTCTTTCGTTCTTGAACCTAGCACATCAGTTATGAGGAGTTCAAATAAACCATTGAGTTATGCATCCGGTAATTCTTCACTGATAATGTTCCCATACCGGTTCCCTCGCTGCATTTACCCCGGAGCTCCTTATTATCCTGACAATAGTCAAGTCATAAACATTTATCTTATTCTATAATTAGGAAATAGTGTATTGGTTATACAGCGAGATTCTGGCAAATATATCTGAATTGACAAGATAACGAGGCCGTTTCGAAATGAGATCCACATCCAAGTTGACCCCATTGGGGAGAATGACACTTAAATGTACTGTTGAACTTCGGTACAACGAAGGAAAGGGGAGAAGAGTATACAAAAAGTACTAATCTAAGACCATAAACTATGATAACATTGAGGTGTGGGGGAGGGGGGGGGGTAGCTGCTCAACTTGTATGGAGTTCGCTTTTCAACTCGAAGGTCTGGAGCTAGATCCCCGCTAGCGCCAGATTTTGTTTTCTCATGCTTTCTGCGCCCCCTAATCATAAGCTAGGTGGGATCGACCACTTAGTGTTGTCGGATAAGGACGAAACATTTTGGAGGTGCCATGTGGATGTTTTGAACTTTAAAGATTCCTTGGTGGCTCTAAAAGCGAAAAAGAGTTAAGTAAGCCTTGCAGGCCGCCGTCCTGGCAAGACTAAAAATTAATTCCACCCGACAATCGACGCCGCTCTGACTAGTACACATTTTAAGAAAACCCTATTTTAAAACGGCACTGGATACCTGTCAGGCAATGGATGATTCTAATTTCTATTGATAAAACGATAATGTATGTAAAAAATCAATTGTACCAATTGAGGCCACTTTTTTCAGCAATTTCTTCTTTTATTATTTACTTAGCTGTGCTCCGGAGGAAAACAGAACTCAGAAGCACAGCTGACCAGGCCCCCAAATCAAGCAAGCAGGGTTTTTTTTTCTTTGGAGGGGGTGGTGGAGGGGGGGACGTGCCATCCACTAGATTTAATCTGCTGTAACTAATTAAAGCATCGTCAACTTCGGTAGTGTCTACTACCCTTTGAACTCAGGAACAAAGCCGAAAAGTCGGGAACAGATACTACACTTTGATCTTACCCAAAAGGCCTAGAAGCGATGCAGGGTGTTTACTTTGAAGGGAAAACCATTATACAGAAACCCACCTGATTCGTGGATACCATATTGATAGAATACCCATCAAACATTGTGGGATACTTGTGTAAGATGTCAGCCATTTTCAGGAAGTCTTCAGTCGTTAGATCTTTGTACAAAGTGTGGAAACTGTGAAATAAAGAAAGTACGAATTACAATTGAATCAATGAGTATCCTCTCCAAAGGAAGACTCACACGACTTTATATTACATCTTTTGGCTGGAGAGTTCTTCCAAAGGTACTAACATCTCAGTCTATCGGGGTCATACAGTGGTGCAGGATATTTGGCTCAAACCGCTGTATTTCGGAAATAATTTTGTCGTCATCAAATTACAAGTTTTATTCTACAGCTTGGTGAACAGCCAAAATAAACTGAACTACATTTTCGAAGATCGAAGTCCAACATGGGGAAACCGGGGATCAAGCCATAGATTAGAAGTGCTATTACATTTCCCTCCCCTACCCCCCCCCCGGGATAAGCTACGATTACCGTAACTAAAGCAAGTGGGAAATGTTTTTGGTATGGCGCTAATAAGGAAGTACGAAGGGAATATAAGGGGAGAAACTTGCTTATCTCGAAGCCCACTTCCAAGGTTCACCTTACTTTGAGATTAAAACAAACAAACAACCCTCCCCCCAAGCTAGCTAGAAAAAAAAACAACCTCAACAAAAACAAACACATAGATCTAGATCTATCTTTGTGCATTGTACGTAAAAAAATAGGGTTATGGTTGCAAACAACATAATTCTGTGCCGTCTATTCTATTTGTATCAGTTTCCCTATAGCTTGAACAAACCAATATTATGACGATAAAGACGAAAACAGTGACGTACTTAAGAAACCAAAGAACGTTCTCCTCCTCGTCCCAGTAGTCCCCTCCACCGGGCGGATCTCGAGTTTTGGCAAAGTTGGCCATTGCTTCGTCAGACGGGGCGAAAAACGTCATCGGTTCTTCGTCCAGCCGGTTCAGTATATTGTTCCGGTATTCCACGTTCTGAAAAAAAGGAAATAAAGCACAATTTTAGTATTTTTAAAATATAGGTGTTTTACCCTCCTACCAACACAATTTAGATCATTTATTAAGGATCGGGTGTCGACCCAGTCTGTCGGAGCCAACCCAGGCTAGGAGGAATACAAAGTCTTGGCAGAAAAATTCTCCCCTAACCGGAATCAAACTCGAGTCTCCTGCTTGCGACGGTGAATTGCCTTACCGTTACACGACAGGCGCGGGTACTTTGCCCCTTCACTAGCAGGCCCGAGGATTGTGTAATGGGGCAGGTCTGGGAGAACAAAAAATGGGTGAATGCGAAGAGGGGGTTGGGTATGGAGTGGGATGGCCGAAGGAATAAAGAAATGGGCTGTGGGAGGGGAATATTTCACTTTCCCCTTTACCCCACCACATACGCTCACAGAAATGGATGTATGTAACACTCACTTCTTCCTTTAGTTCAGCCAGAGAGACCACCTCGAGCAGACTGGTGTGCATCTTTTTCAAGCGGCAGGCAGTTAAGTAATGACCTATTCATCGTGGGATACAGTTATGGGAAAGAACAACAACAACAAAAAACCCAACTTTTAACAAATAGCGAACAGGTTTGAGTTGAACTTTACGATGTGGCAGCAGGATAATGTCTTTATTTCTCCAGAAGAGAGGCTTCGAAAACAGCAGTAATTCTGATAAAGAACTGCAGGGGTCAGACAACGATAAGATGATTCATCAACCACTTGCGCATATAGCACAAAAGGAGGTATGTTGCATAGAGTGAGTCTTAATGTTTTACCCATTGTCTATACAATTTAAATCATGAGTCAGGAAGGTTATTTCAGCTATGCATGCATGAACCAATCTAGACTTAAGTGGAATGCAGTATCCCAGCACACAGACGGAGATACTCTATAAGAATAAAAGCGTGCTTTAAACCCCCCCCCCAAAAACTCGTCCCTCCCCTGAGAATCGAACTCATGTCTTCCGCGCGCTACGACAAAAAGCCTTGCCATTACAGCGCAGACACCGGCGAAGTCGTATGGATACACCACAGAGAGCGGCCCTCTTCGTCCCAATGAACTTCTCATCCACCCAAACGTGATTACACTACTCAGGGGGCATCGGGAACTTGATTTTAGTTTCAACAACAAAACCACCAGAAGGACAGCTATCAAGGACAAAGGAGCTGTGTTTGTGTCCCATGTCCTGATTTTTTTTGGGTGCAAGATAGTAGTTTAGTACAAAGGGCAAGGTTGTTAGACATTGTTGTGGTGAAAAATTACGAGAAAGTTCTGGCAAAACGCAGTTATTTTGCTGCCGTTGTTGCTGCAATCGTCACTCTTGAAGATAGTGTGAAACTTTCATCATCATCATCATCATCATCATCATCATCATCATCATCATCATCATTATCATCATCTTCATAATCAACATCATCATCATCAATATCTGTAGGAGAAAATTGACTTGAAAGAACAAAGGAGCTGTTTTCACCTGCACGTATAATTATAATTATAATTTGTCAAAGCATCGATAATTATTAACAGAGGATGCATTGTTCATGTCGATTTTGATTCAGTACTTATGATACCTGATGTTCGAATCTCAGAGGTGGATGATTATTATTCTTGTCACTCCTGAAATATTCCTTCTAAATGCGGTGGAAGACCAGGCCCAGTGTGTCTTGCAGGGCGTTTAACTGAAACAACTACAATAACAACAACAACAGCAACAGCAACAACAAAACAACAACAACAACAAAAACAACAACAAAAACAACAACAGCAACAACAAAACCAACAAACGTAGATCTTGTTCACTTATGTCTGTCCGATTCTAACTTAACAACAACAATAACAACAACAACAACAACAACAACAACATCATCAACAACAACAACAACAACAACAACAACAACATCGACAGCAACAACAGAAAACAACAACAACAACAACAACAACAACAACAACAATAACAACGACAACAACACCAACAAACGTAGAGGTTGTTCGTCTGTCCGCATTAAAATAAGTGAGGCAGCGTGGTGAAATCAGGCTCCCGTCAAAATAATCAAAGTGAAGAAACTTGCATTTTTTCGCAGGTTTGTGAATTGTTATCAAATTTTTGTTTTTTGGCTCAACACCTTTCATGCCCTTTAAAGAATTCATTTTTTGGTCGATTTTTCTTTTTAAAAAACGTTGATTAAAGGCACAAAAATGTTAATTTTCAGTTACCACGGACTCTTAAGCTAAGGAAATAACTAGTCTTTGGCGGCCATTTTCTCACTTATTTTACCTCTGAAAACAGGTGACCCCCTTCTCCTTCTTTCGCAAATATCTCCACTTGTATTCAAGATAAATGAATATTTTGTTCATCCTAAGAAAGACAAGCGAACAAGCTTTAAGATGATACCAATAACTCTACATGCCCAAAAATTGACGAGAGGCTGATTCCACCACGCTGCCTCACATATTCTAGCGTATTTATATATTTGTTTGCCTGTGTGCACGAAACTTTGAATGGTACTACTATAAACTATTGACCAAACAATTTTTTTTCGTTAATGGGCTTTTAGATTTTGTTGGTCAACCAACATTTGAACCTGCTTGCAAAGACCTGAGAAGATTAAACAGACCGATTTGTTTTTATCCTGTTTTTAGTATGGACAGACGAAAGTGAATTCGCTATGGGCTCGATATGAATCTGACCAACAAGCAGAAGACTAAGCGTTCTTCACGTATTAACATTAAAAGGGCAGCTTGCACTGTATGCTTCCAAGGATGTTGAGGTCGTTTCAGAATGCTACCAGGTCTGCTGGAGTATTAGTATAGATTGTGAAGCGCTTACAGAGCTTGTTTTTTTAGCGGGATTTGCGCTAAAATATTAATGCTATATATTCAATAATTATTATTATTGTTATTACAATAAATTATCATTACTATTATGATGATGATGATGATGATGATGATGATGAGGATATTTAATAATATTATTATTACTACTACTACTCGTACTCCTCCTCCTCCTCCTCCTCCTCCTCCTCCTCCTCCTCCTCCTCCTCCTCCTACTACTACTACTACTGCTACTACTACTGCTACTACTACTGCTACTACTACTACTACTACTACTTCTACTACTACTACTACTACTACTACTACTACTACTACTACTACTACTACTACTACTACTACTACTACTACTACTACTACTACTACTACTACTACTACTACTACTACTACTACTACTACTACTACTACTATTATTATTATTGTTATTATTATTATTATTATTATTATTATTATTATTATTATTATTATTATTATTATATTATTATTATTATTATCATTGTTGCCACCGAACCGAAAGCTCGCGTGACTTCACCCAAACTTTCTCCGTCGTGCTGCTCATTCCGAGTCTCTACGGGGACATAAGGCGCGAAGCTGCAAGCTTTCCTATGTTTCCCCACTCACGATTTCCAGTCGGAAATATTTAGAAATTCCCCCCTTCTAAAATATTTATCGTCTGTGCTCTATGCGAGGATAACGTATCAAAAACAAACACATAGATTTTTAAAAACGAGAAAAATATTCTATCGAAAATTCCAGTTGTTCGAGTTCAGTTCCTCGTAAAATCAGCTAATCGTTTAGGCCTTGACCCACTTATATAATAGAGTAGAATGGTTTCATGTGTTATTTAGTATTTCGATAAAGTCGTAAACCATAAAAATCACTGACTTGGTCTGTATAAAACTACAAAGAGCATGAACGCTCGAGTACACGTGAGCAGCAAGACCGTTCGCATTTTCCAATATTCCCACCTCGGCACCGCCTCGTGCGGTCTACCCTGATAGCCAGACCAAGCGGTCATCAATTCTCGCATTCGCGCTGGCTTTGTCGACGGAAGGCGGCGTTGGGTCTGCGACCGAGACAGACATTGACAAGACGAGCTGGACGGTGACCGTTCTTCATCTTGTAGTGACATTAAGTTCGAAGTTCACTGTCTTGGTCACCCCAGCCTGAGCCAAGACATTTCTCACACCGTCTTCTGGCCAGTTTGTAAATCCAACAGCAGACAGTGCTTTATGGGACAACAAAGAAAGAGCTGTCACTTAGAGGTCAGTAGATGATGATTTTAGAAAGAAAATGAACTTGATCCTTTTGCTAACACAATTTTTTTTTAAACTTACGCGATTTATGTTGTTTTCAGCTTCCTCTTTAGGTTGAATAGTTTTGTGTTTGGTTTTATTAAACAATTTATCTTTCTTTTTGATTTCACTATATTTTGTCGTGCATTCTGTTACAATACTTGTTTTCATCTACTTTAGAGTGTGTTTGTTCTCACCGTTTTCCTTTTTGTCTTTTCGCAAGAATGAATGGTAGTAAGGGGTCATTTTCACGTCTATTTGCTATGGTTAAATTGGGTAAGAGTTATCACACCCGCGAAATATGATGTTTGAGAGTCGACAAGGCCTGGCGTTTCAAATTGTTTCAGGAACAATTTTTGAAAAATATTTTCTGTTGTTAAAAATGCCACATAATATTCTTCATCAAAAAAGTCAAAAATTATTAAAAGGACGGTGGAATCAAAATGATTAGCCAAAGAAAACAAACAGTTTTGATCACTGTAACTTATTACCTCATTTTCTCGTCTTACTTCTCAAATTCTTTTTTCTTTTTTCCAATTTTTACCTACTCAAGATCTAAGACGATAGGATATTGTCTTGGACAGAGAAGAGCCAGCGGCCGGTTGGTGGGTGCTCTAGTGTGGCTTGCTCCCACTTTCCTATTAAACGATTATAATCCTTATTTCTCCTCCTTCCTTTTCGTGTTTCTTAAACTCTTGGAACATCTCTAATCTTTGGCATTCATAATTTGATCTAAATGTGGTGCAAGTGCCGTAAAACTCTTTCTTAAACAAGAGAAAAAAGTCATCCGTGCTGTGGGGGTGGGGGAAATTTAGTTTTCTCCTGACGTGATCTAGCCACCCCCACCCCCCCTCGTTCCCAGTCA